TTATCAACTAATCTTTTAAAACCCAAACCTCAAGTTTAAATGTGAGGCAATACAAACATTAAAAACAATTAAGACATTCTTGAATAAAACAATAACAATATATTCATTGGTTTTTTTTAATCTATCCTAAATTAATAAAGCGTAAACACACACTTCTTTGTTGCCTAAGATGTCAGCGATTACAGCAGATTTTTGAATAATTCTTTTTTTAATAAAAAGCCCTACACTTACGTCACGCTTTAGGCTATATATTTTCACGCAATTAAACTTAGGGGTAAATATTTTGGATAAAACCCTAATGTGGGAAAGAGACCATAAGTTGTTGCCAACATTAAGGAAGCAAGATTGCCAAGGTTGTCATGTCATGTGATTTTGAAATTTGCTATTGATAATTTGATAAATGTAAAAATATTTTTTTTATAATTTCATGCGGATGAAGCCGCACGGGAACAGCTAGTGTGAAGATAAATCGAATAAAACATAAGGAGTCTCTTTATTATAGTAATCATTATGAGCTCTTAAAAGAAGACAATACAATAAATAAAAAAGAAAGTGTCAATAATAAAACATAAAAAGAAATGAAATGAGCTGCAATGAACAAAAAACTAAAGCTACTTTATCTCGAAACACCAATTTATAGCCAGACTCGACTCTTATAGTAAATTGATAAAAAAATTTACTACATTAAGGGAGAGAACAGGTGAAAAAGCGGCAATTTGTTAAGAAGATCCGATAAATAAAGGTCAAATGCCGCACTGGCGATTAAAATACTTAATAGTGTATTCACTTTAGTAATAAGTCACGGTAATCATTTCATTTAAGTTTGAAATTCTTAATGTCTGTTTTCACTAAGCGACTCGCTGCTCATCTTCATGCGCATGCATACAAAATAGCGCTACATCAGTTTAAGTGAAAAAATTGTGCGTTAATCGTGCTAATGGAAAATAGTTTTAAGATGCGTTGATGGAATTCTTCATTCATTTACGCATCTGCGGTGATTTACGCTCAAGACGCGAGCCGATTCGAGATTTAAATGGGACAATTTAAAAGTGAATTTATTATGGCATTGAAATAAATAAAAACTCATAATAATGATTATAATCTTTCGAATGCGTCGACGATTTATTATCAAGGTCCTGAAGTTAATTACATAGAATTATTATTATAAAAGGTAACCAATATTAACGTAATTATGCTATGTTATGCAATATCTTTACTGTTTTAAATCTATACTAATATAATAAAGCGTAAACGTACACTACTTTGTGGCGTAAGATGTCAGCAATCACAGCATATTTTTG